AGGATACTAAACTAATTGTGAGGTTAAGCTGTTTACTTTATTCTTCTTATTTTCTCTTGTTAAAAAAGGATGATGGCACATGCAATAGAGCTATTAACATCAGAGTGTACTCAAGCAGAAATTCTTTTGCACGAAGAGCAGCCTAAACTTGGAGGGATTAGCTTAGAAGAGCTTCATCGACTTGTTTATGCTGAAGTTCTGTCATCTCATGCTTTGACGTGGCAGGTTAGACTGACTTAATCAATTACCGAGTACATCTATAGGCAAATATGTCTTTATTGTTGGAGGTGTTTGGTGGTCTTTGTTTGATCAGGTTTGCTGATTGTCGTAATTCTATCTTTATCTAAATACCTTATTTGATGTAATTACAGATTGCACCAATTTACTTGACATCATGTGTGAAGCTTGGAATCAACTTGTTGGAAAATCTTTTGTACAAGCAACCTGTACAATGGCACCAAGTTCTACTGAAGGTCAAATGTTGTTTGCTTTCTGTTTTGCATTGCACTTTTAAACGTTCATTATAAGCACACCCCCAATGAGAAAACCATAGTTTCAGATGGGTGATGCCCTATGTACAGCATCCTTGTGTACACAAAGTCGTATACCACCCTTTTACACACACACACACGCATGCACACGCACACACACAAGGTTTTTCGCTCCCACAGACAAATGTTGTCTAATGTTGTCTGTGCGATGTGTGGGCACCCCTTGAGTGCCCTTCTCATAGGCATCGTGGTGCACAAAAAAGCATTTTTTTCAAAGATGGACGTATTTTCTGATATAGTCTGCATGGCTTTGAAAGATGATCTGTTTTTTTCTATATTTTGCAGAGCCTTGAGATCTGTCGTCTCTATGAACTTAACAATGTCACTTCGAACCTTATGAAGGTATGTTAAAGTGTCTCTTCACTCCCTCCTTTTCTCCCTACAATCACCTGGCTTCAAAAATGTCTCATTGCACTTTTTTTTCCTTGGAAAAATCCACATATCACCAAACAAATCTAGTTTTATTCAATTTTCTTTTAAAAAATTAGAAAATTAATTAAATAAGGTAGATATAGTTAAAGCATCAAATAAATCTTTGGCACTTTAACAGTTGTACCCTTGTGACAGTTTTAAAATTGTACCCTGGTCAAACATAATTTTTTCAAGAAGGATCGAGTAGTTGAATAGTGAGGGCTCAAGGCTGAGCTTATTTTATTGAGAAGTGCATACCTATTACCTAACTATGTAGCACAAATATAATTTCATAGCTGCAAATGCTTTTTGGAGTTATGCATATGCTCTATTGTAATTATGGAATGCATGATATCCCATGGCACAGATTGCTGGAGTCCACTACTAGAAACATGGAAAAAAAGGCTCTGCAGTTTTTTGGCTTCAGCAAGCGCGGGATGAAATTCGGCTGAACAGAATTGCAAAGTTGTTATTTGATTTTGTTGGGAAGTCTGTATCTGATGAAGGTTTCAAGGTAGTAAATGTTTTATATGATGTTTTTGTGCTTATTATATGCATCTCCAGCAAAGCTCACCATGAGAGTAAGAGGGTACTTGTGTTTACTTATTTTTTTTGGAATGAGATTATTTTGACAACAGAATCCATAATCATCTCAGATGTGCTTCTTTTCTTAGACTTCGGAAAAATTGAAAATCTGACACACTCAAACATTTTCAAGTGCTTATATCCTAATAAAAAATTGAGAATCATTTTCAGAATCATTCGCAAACACCCTCTAAGGACATATCATTTTATTTGTATAGGAAACCCTTCTAATCAAAGAGTGTGATTTTCTTTCTTTGACTATTGGATTGTCTTTTTCTCCAATTCTTTTTGTAGCAATGGGAAGGGTTAATTGAATTGCTAGGATCAGAGCCTAGGACTGCAAGTGGTCTTGAGTTTTTGAACAGGTAATCATTGATCACTTTACTTTCAATATTACGGAGTATTATGTTCCTGTTACTAGTGAGTATCCCACATCAAGATATGTTAAAGAAAATCATTGGTTAATAAAAACAGGGAGACTGTTTCCGCTAGACCCCATATGATTTGCTGCGTTTTCTCTACAAATTGTTAAAAGCTAACGAAGTTTAATGTTCCATTTTGATTTAGTCCATTTTTTGCCCAAAACAAAAATGTTGTCAATAATGATATTTTTATCTCCATTGGCAATGGGCCAATCTATTGCTACGCGACATGTTTTTTAATTGAGCTTCTAATGATGTGTGCAGGTATAGGGATTTCAGGCGATGCCTTCTGCAGGTTGGAGGTAACACATCCACTGATGCTGCCCGGAAAGCTGCAGAGGCCCTTATATCTGTATGTCCAAACACCCCTTCTGAAGTTCTGATACATAATGTTTTTTAGATAGTAGCCAGTGTGTGAAGTGATGGCATGTGGTATCTAAACTCTAAAGAGCTGCTGAAGCTCTTAATATCAGTTGCTTTGCTAAGGCACTAGGGACGTCGGGGTCAGTTTTGTTTCCTTTTGGTTCACGTTGCTTCGGGTTCGGGTAAGTTTGGGTTGGGAAATGCATATTTATGACCCAATGTCGTCGGGTTTGGTTTGGCCCAACAGTTTATGAACATTTTTTTAGAATGCTTTAGTTAAATCAAGCACTTGCAATTTGCATTAAAAATTTTGAAATATATATATTAAATCTATTAGGAGTATAATATTGGATTTTGACTTTTTAATTGAATTTTAGATATATACAACAGCATTATAAATAATAAAAAAATTAAATATGTACAATTTTTGAAAAAAAAGTAAGATAACAATATAATTTCATTGAAATCTCGTTTGAAAAGATAAGTTTATTCACTAAAACAAAGTAATAGGAAAAAATAATACTTTGTATTATAACATTATTTATATCATACGGAGTATATTCATGGTATATTTCATACTATATACAGTATAATTTTTTAAAAAAGATCTTATCATAGAAGTCGGTCAGGTTGGGTTCAATCAGGGTCGACCCATTTTAAGTGGGTCATTTCGGGTTTGGTTTACAAATTTTTTGTTCAAAACCCAGTGTTTTCGGTGCGGGTCTCGGGTCAATTTTTGTCCCGTATGGTCTCCAGTCTGTCCCTCAATGAAGTTTTTGTCATAAATTTCTTTAATTTTCAGCTGATGAGAAACCCATCAACACCTCAACAGTTTTGGCTTCCTCTTCTGCATGATTCAGTAAGCCCTTACCTTGTACTGTAATTTTTTTCCCCTGGGTGAATATCTTCTTGAACTTTATATCTTCTTGAACTGTGCAGTTAAAATTACTCAACTGGGGGGAGCACCCGGTTTTCAACGTTTCCCAGACTAACCTGCTTTTGAGTAAACTGCAAGAACTGTCTATGGCAAAACTGCGCCCGGATTTCGTAGAGAGTAACTTGGCAAACGAGGCATTAGGCTCCGTCAGACTGGCCCTCGCTACTAACTTGGGACGTGCAATCCTCGAGGAGTGACGATCTTGTGGGCCCCACCCGCGTTTTGTCATTTCCTCTGTAACACTACCCAATTGAAATGTGCATTGCTATACCGGCGTGAACCGAGAACAGTCTCTCAAGTCTCAAAAGTCTGGGTTTCGTCTTCTGTATATTCATTTGCACCCTAACTGGAAAAGGAGAAGAATGATTTATGAATATTATTATTTTTAAATTTTTTTAATCGTAATAACTGTGCAAGGCAAAGTAAGATTATTATCCTGTAATTAATCACATTTTCTTTTCCTTAGATTAGACTATGTGAGAAGTTTTATGGTTCTTATATGCAATATTGTGAAGTTTGAAGGACAGTTTATTTGTATGATGAAGTATTGAAGTCATGATTAATATTGTGAAATTAATCTGTATTATTAAAAAATGATCCAAAGCATTCATGCTTACAATGAGATCTTTAAACATTAATCTTGCAAAGACTCTTTTGAACGCTTTCAAAAATATTCTCCATACTTTATTTTGAGATTTTACTTTTATCTAAATAAATTATAAGAGTATAGTTTTTACTTTTTAAACTACTCTATCCGTTCCGTTTTAAATTGCATGTTTTGACTTTTGGACATATTTAAGGAAGAGAAAAAATAAAGTTGATTTTTCGAAATTGTCATTACATTTTAGGAGGGGTGACGATGAATAAGAAGATAAGGTGGAGAAGGAGTGATTTATTTTAGGGGTAGTTTAAGTATTTTACTCTTAAAAGTTTACGATAACAAGTAATAGATAATTTATTTTGAGACGGAGAAAAAAAGCAAACATGCAATTTAAAATGGGACAGAGGGAGTATTTATTTAAATTTTGCGAATATCAAATAGATAATTTTTTTGTGAGAGTGAATACGTCTCAATATATATTGTACAACTAGTGGTTCGGTGCTTTTTATACATTTGCGGTGAGTATTTATTTACAAGTTAGAGAATGCTCATTTTTCTAAAATATGATTATGCTAAAAAATAAGTATTCAGTTATTCAAAAATAAATGTTTATACTAATATGAATGTACAAAAAATATGTTACATCCAGATTTATAGTATAAGTAGTCTGAATAGAGAATACTACTACTCCCTTAGTCCTATAAAGATTTATTCATTTCATTTTTTGTACATCCCATAAAACACTTCTATGTACATCTGAAATGCCTAAAATTTACCACATTTACCCTTTTTTGTGGGTAGAAGTTGTTTTAAAAGTTTTTTTAACATTTGAGACGAGATAAAAGTATTTTGTAGGATGTACAAAAAATAAAATAGGTAGATCTTTTTGGGAAGCATGTATATTTTTAGTTCAAAAATGCTAGAGGTACACCTTTATATTGGAAAATAAAATAAACAAAAATAAATAAAAAAAATAAGTGATAGAAAAATGGATAGTGTACATTTGGAGTACACTTTTTGGTACAAGCATCCCTCTTTTTAGTTTTATTCTTTATAGTCGATGGGCTTTTCTTTAATTTAACCCAAAATGTAAAATCGCTTCCGCCATTGAAGCCCAGTGTAGGCTCTGAAGCGAGCAAAATCTTGAAGAATTAGCAGCAAAATAACCAGAGACCCAATTTCGAGAAAGAGAAGAAAACCAGAAAATGGCTTTCTCTTCAAACTCGCTCCGCGTTCTTGGTTCACTACTACACAGATCCTCCTACTCATTCACTCTCCAAAGTAAACCCCACCCTCTTCCCACAAGTAACTCCGTGAGCTAAAGATTAGATTTTTTTCTTTTTTGGGTTCATCTTTTCCTTTTGAAATTTCCAATTTCTGTTCTTTGATCGATAGGCCATGGTTTTTTTCTAATTAATTTGAGGTTATATGGTTCAGGTACTGTGGTTTTGAATTCGAAACAACTGTCATCGTCTTTCTGGTACTCATCTTCTGAGAAATGGGTGCCCCAGTTTCACCTCCAATCTGGGAATTCTGCGAGAAAGATTTGGACTTGTACGCCACTGTGTATGGGTAGGCGCTCCTGCAAAATTGCTGGGAGAAAGGTATATGATAAAGTTTCAATCTGATGAGAAACAGGCACTTCTTATGAGTACTTCCAGTATTAGAATCTGATTATTTTGCATAATCTTGTAATATTCTTGTATCTAATGTTCTAATCAATGGTAACAATTGTATTTTGTTTTTCAATTTTGTTGTCGGTTGGGATTCTCATTTTCATGTTACCTAAGTTGAATGAGCCCAGATTAGTTTTCTTTGGTAATCTTGTTATGTACTGGTATAAGGGTATGTACAAGGTTGAAATAATTCTTGAAAAAAATAAGATTTTTAAGGTTCTAGGTAGTGCGTTGAACCTATAATACTTCCGGTTTCACCTCTTCCGTTGAGGTAAAAAGTTGTGTTCAATCCCCACTCCCCTCATAAGCACATAAACAAGGGTTTGAGTTGTATTGTAAAACAAATTTACCCGTGATCTTTTTTGCATTCACGTCCATTGTCAATGGAGTTAAAATAATCGTAACTGTAAATGTTTTAGCTTGGGTCAATAGCAAACTAAATCACAATGGCACATTAAATTTCCTTTCCTTCTTACTTTGAGTGAAGTCAGGGGTAGTAAATATAGCAATGCATCAAGGGTCTAATGGGAACAGTTACTCTGTATTTTATTTTACAGAGTTGTGATTGACCCGGGTTGTTGTTTATCTTCTTTGCATTAAGTTTGAGATGCTTAAATTATTTTATACTAATTGTTTTTTTGACACATCATTTAAAAATTTGTGTTTAAACACAGACAGCGCAGGATGCGAAGAAAGCAAAATTATATTCAAAAATCGGGAAGGAAGTTGTGTCCGCGTAGGTTTTTTCATTCTTCACCATCTTCATGTTTCAATGGAGCTGAAATGACTCAAATGAGTGTTACTACACGTGGCATATTCACATGCTTTAAATATTATTTTTTCTTGTCTTACATTATTTTAGGGTAAAGAAAGGTGGCGCCAGTCCTATATCTAACACAACTTTGGCTAATTTGCTTGAGAAAGTTAAGGAGCTTGATGTGCCTAAGGATATTGTGGAGAGAAACATTAAGAGAGCTTCAGAGAAGGGGCAAGAGGCTTACATTGAGAAAGTTTATGAGGTACTGGCAATTTACATTTGTAGTATCTTTTTTTAAATTCTAGTTTTTGCTCCATTTCGAGTGTGTTTGAGAAGGGGAATGATATACGTAGGAAGAGTTGGATGGAGGTGATTAGAAAGGACTTGCGGCTCCATAATCTCACCGAGGATATGCCCTTAGAGAAGAACCCTAGTTGATTTAGGATTAGACTATTAGAGTAATTGGGTAGACCCGTGAGCCTTGATTTGTATTTTTTGCTGGCGTGTTTTTATGTCTTAGGTTGTAGCTTGTGCTTTGGGTTTAGTTAATTTTCATGTATGACCCACCCAAAAAAAAATCATTCTTTAGTGAAAAGGAGAGTTGAAAATAACCATTTTAACCCTATTTTTCTATGCCGTTCAAAGTTAGAATATCTACGTTAAGTTGGAAAAAATGTCTTTAAAAGAAAAAAAGTCAAGATTCTTTCTATTTTCTTTCATACAAATCCCACAAGTTCACAATAGGAGGGTCTTGGGAGGGTGTATGTACACAGACCTTATCTTACTCGGAATTGAGAAGTAGATATGTCGTTTCCGAGGCACCCACCTACAGAGTGCTAAAAATCTACTACTCCTTACAATCCAAATGTGCTAAAAATTCACTCTTTTTCTCAGTTGTCCAATTTCTTCTCTTCCACTGTCTCTCTTTATCACCACTCTCCCAACTCAAACAAGAACAACAAGCTAAACATCAAAACTCAAATGTTTGTACTTGCTCAAGTTCAGGTATACGGATACGGAGGAGTTGGGATCATAGTTGAGGTGTTGACAGACAAAGTGAACCGGTCAATAGCACTCATTAGAGAGGTGGTTAAGGATTGTGGGGCAAAAATGGCAGATTCAGGGTCAATTATGTTCAAGTTCAGAAGGGCCCGCGTGGCTAATGTGAAAGTCAGTGATGTTGAGAGGGATCAACTCCTTAGTATTGCCTTAGACGCTGGCGCTGAAGATGTCATTGAGCCTTCAATGGACGAGGATGATACCGAAGAGGATATGTCAAGGTATTTCTTCTTGTCCTTTTCTTAAAAGGAAATACTATTCATATTTTTGACAACTAAAAGACCATTTTGCCCTTTTTGCGTCATCCTATATCTTTCTTCCCGTCGTGCAGGTGTTACAAAGTTGTGAGCTCAAATGAGAACTATTCGGCAATTTTATCAAAGCTACGCGAGGAGGGAATAAAGTTCGAACCTGATAATGGTTCTGAACTTCTCCCTCTCACCCCGATTGAGGTGAATATGTTTTTTTAATCTACTAAGGTTTTATAATGGATTGTTTAGATTGTTGATACGGCGTTGTTATTATTATTATTATTATTTTGAGGTTGTAGGTAGATGATGAGGCCATGGACTTGAACAAAGAACTTATGGCAAAACTACTTGAGCTAGATGACGTTGATGCCGTCTATACAGATCAGAAGTATTAGCTTCCTAGAAATATGGTTTGATCAAATTTTGTGAGAGTGCTTTATTCCTTATATGTTACTAAACATGTTACTGATTTACAATCTCCGTCCTAGAGTATTCGTCTAGTTTGAGGTTTTTGAGTCAAACTGGACAGACATGGATCATTAATTAAATAAAAATTGCATTGCATATTTGTACAATGATGATTTCATTAGATTTAGCTTGCAAAAAAATTACAAATAATTACTCGATTCATAATTATTGATGATTAGAGTTCGTTCAGCACGACTCGATACAGTCAAAGTGGATGAATACTCTAGGGCGGACAGAGTATACATGATTATTTTAGAATACAAGCATTGCACAATGGTAGAAGCTTTAATTTCAAGAACTGATCAAATGTAGCTCCATACTTCAATGCATGTTATTACATAATGTTTGTATTTATATATGTGTATATATAAGCTTTTTTGCATGGCGTGATTTGTGTATGGTGCACTGACACCAAATTTGACACCATTGCGTGTACGTATCCGCACAGATAGATATTGTCTATGCACGTCACTGGCGTCATCAATGGTGTCAAACTATGATATTTAGATATCATTTTCCGTGTGTGTGTGTGTGTGTGTAGGTTATAAGTGTTCATTTGGTTGGAACCCAGCATCCATGGAGTCCATAAGGGAGAGCATAAGGAAACTTTGCCCTTGCAATCTCTTCAAATGAGGATCCATCTAACACTATGGCATACCCTTCTCCATTCTTGTCACTTATCATTGATATCACCACTCCTGCATCCATATACATGCTCATATCTCATGCGTGTGTCCATTATGTAAGAGTGTATGCATGATTAAGTTCGACTACGTTGTGGGTCCCACATGAGTGACATACGCCCCTCACGGAAGGGTCAGGGAACACTTTCCGCAAGGGTCGATTGTGTCGGGTCCCACGTTATACTGACTTACCGTCATCCTCTTCAGTTGCGCCCGGGCGAGCCACGAAAAATGGTTCAGATGGCACAGAGCCCTCGTCATGCCAGTTCTTTGCTCTCTTCTCCACCAAGTCAATCTGCGTCGTTTTAAAAGAATTTCTCCAAAGACAAGTTCATATCCCATTTAACAACGAAAGAATTGAGGTTATTCTTTCTCTTAAACTTTGTACCACAAGTAAGGGTATGTGTGGTACCTTTGTGAGGGTATTGGGGAAGTTGCAGGGTCTGTGGGCCCCACAGGCGTAGGCGAATCTGTACTTCTTGCCCAAGAAAGAAGGGTTGAAGCTGCACATGTCCATCCCCCTGCCATGCTCATTTGGATCCAATGCTGCCTCTAACTTCCCATCTGGACTCCCATCCAATGGTATTGTGAATCTCCCTACCCTATATATATATTCCCACTATCAATCTATAATGCAACAAATAAGGTCAAAATAGTCTTTACTTGTGAAAGTTGTGAAGAGTCAGACAGAGTTTGTTAGCGTAATTGCCTGGCGTCTGGCAAGACGTCTTTGCCGTTAAACGACCGGAGATTCTGTAGCCTAAGATTGTCGAGGATGGTCGTGTCGGCGTTATGCTCACAGCAGTCGGCGATCACCGCCGTTATCCTTCCATCCTCATCCTTCTCCTCGTATGCATTGATGAAATGGAATGTCACATACAATGGAACTTCCACACTTGCCACCTTTCAAAAAAAAAAAAAAAATCAACCCAAAATCAATCTATAAATAAAGTTCTTCTTTCCCTCGGTCCCTTGAAGATTTGTTTTCTCTTTCACTTTTTTTCGTCTCAAAAAATCTTTCTATTTTCTATTAAAAAATTAAATTTACTTCTACTAATTCTTGCCATATCAATGATATTATATCTATTTACTAATAATCTATCTATCATATCTCATATTTTACTTTTTACCCGTAAAATCAAGGATAATTTGGGAAAGTAAAAAAATATCTCTATTAAAATCTATAAAAGTCAAAATGAGAAATAAATTTTTGAAAGGAGTATAAGATAAGTAGAAAGTAGGAAGGGAGATTTACAATTTTGCCACTGGTTTTGCACATGACATGCATGAAGGCTTTGGAGTCAGGGTGCCACTCGAACTTATAGAGAGGAGTGGGCTCAGCCTTTAGTAGATTTTGGGCACAATACCTTAGTGGCATCTCCGGCACGATCACGTAGTGCTCCGTCGCCGGAAAAGAGTGCACCCACCCCGGAGCGGGCCCGCCTCGGCATTTCACCCGCCCGATAGCCCTCCTCTCGTTGGTGCCCGGGTCCATGCGAGCCACGATGTATCCCGGGTTGATTAAGTCAGGCAACAACGTGAGGAATTCCGTGTCCGTGACTATCGGGTGGGCTGAGTGGATCAGCCCGCCCAGAGAGTCGCTGTATTCGAACTTCCCAATAGTGTCCAGTGTGTCTGGGTCAATCACGATTGACCCTTTCACGGTCTCCGTCAAACACAACACCCGGCCGTCGCCCAACCTGACCACACCGGTGTTGGCGTTGTCTGTTAACGACGCACCGGAGAATAGGTTCGCTAGTTCTCCGACGTAGCCCAGGAAGTTGTTCTGCTTTGGTACCTGTTAAAAGTATCACACATCTGAAAATTAGAGAAAAACAAGTTTTCTAAATTCGGAACCAGTTAGAGCGCATCCCACGTCGGAAGTCTGAGAGCAAAATAATTGGTATATAAGTTCTTGTGTTGAACTAACTAATCGATTGGATTCAATCTTTTAATGTGGTTCAACCCAATTGTCTTATAACCCAATCCAGTAATCCTTACTCCATCCTAAATTTTATCGGAACCAGAATTAGAACAAGTCGGAAACGACCATTCTGGTTCCAATTTTTGTTTTTTGTTTTTTAAGTCGAGTCACAATATTTTTGAGCGATTCAAAATATCTAGCAACAAAAAATTATGAAATACTAGTTCGGGAACGATTTCTATTTTTGGAAAAATATTTGATTATTCCATAATTTTTTTGTTGCTAGTTATTTTGAATCAAACAACAATATTGTGACTCAACTTGAAAAAATGGTGTTCACAGACGTTTATATCGTTTGTGTGTACAACTTCATACACGGTTATTATTAGTGGTGTCAAAGTTGGTGTTATTCTAGCACGACCCATCTTAAACGGAATTAGTACCTCGGAGAACTCGCGGAAACAGAGTTTTTGGTTCATCGTCGCGGCCTTGTAGGCCTCCGACTCGATTTGCCGGTGTGCCATTGTTAGGCGGCCATCGTCAAAGTGTAGGCGGACGAGGGTGGCGTAGCCGTCGAAGAGGTGCCGGAAATTGTAGTCCCCTATGTGCCATAAGCCCGGTCCGTTTCTTAGATACGTCCCGTTCTGCATAGTTAATAAATAGTCAGTTAATTATATCTTCACAAAATTACTTATGTGTGACGCAAGTTTTATCGAAATAACATTCACGTCTTTTTATTTTCAAGAAGACAAACGGAGGTCCTTACATCTTATTGTAATGACTGAGAGGGGACATTTCATCCATAAACGTTAATAAATGTATGTTTTCCTATTTTTTCCTAAATATAAATATCTCTGTTATCTTCTTGAAAATAGAGGGACCTGAGAGTTATTTCGACAAAATTTGCGTCACCCGTTAGTAATTTTCTGATTATATCTTAATGGAGAAAGTATAAAATTCTTTTAAAAAATTGAATAAATGTATACGTAATCAACATTCATATTCATTCAACTTTTAATGTACCATGAAAGTGTTAATGATATGTACTAAACGTACCAACCACTTTGGTATTTCACCTTCAACAACGAGCTCCCCTTCCCACCTCTCTTGCCGGACACTGGTCCACGCCGCCAGTTTTCTCTCGGCCGCCACTGTTTCGGTGGCGGAAGGAGCGGAAGCCGACAGCGTGCCGCCAGCCACGTTGGTCACGACAAATCCGCGACGCCCTCGGGTTTTATTATTATGGACGAATTTAACCTTTGGGAGAGAGGTCAAATTATCAAAGAAGTAGGGAGGAACTTTGATCATATCTTTCACACATGTGTGGGGAGGTGAAAATGGAAGAGAAGCCATTGAATTGTGTATGGGATTTGAGAGAATTGAATGTGAACAAGAAGAGGATTATATATATATGTGGTGGGTATGCCATATATGCTTATTATGAGAATAAATTAATTGCAAAGTGGAAAATATGAGTAGCTACAATTAAATTGTATGGTACATCCTAATATACATGTTTTTCTTTACTTCTATTGAGTAGTATATGTATTGCTTGTGTTCGAAAATATTCTTCTCACTTTCATTTTTGTTCTGTCAAAAAATATTCCTCATTTCATTTTTAGCTTACTTTTTAAGGGTAATTATCAATAACACCATTATACTCCAATCTAAGCTTGTCAAGACAACACGAAAAGAATATTTACGAAAGAGGGAGTAACTCGTAAGGTTGGGCGTAATGCCCACCCATCGCTCCACCGTGATCACGTGGCAAAGTCAGGTCGGCTTCCCTTTCATGCAAACACCCCCCCTTTCGTGACCACGGGCCGTGAGACCCGTTACGGCCAGTGGACCGTTGCTCCTCTTTTTTTCCGATCATTTGCTTCCAACGGTCATTTTGACCAATTTTTTTTTTAAAAAAATTACTCCGTAATATATACTCCGTAATAAACTCAAATTTGAAACTTACAAATTCCTTCCCTCTTCTATTTAAACAACCAATTCTAACCATTTTCAAACACAATCACTTCTTCATTATCTCAATTCTAATTATATTTATTTTAAAATTTTACTTCCTCCGTCCCACATAAAAGTTCACATTTTGACCACAAATTGGTCAAACAATTGCACACTTTGACCCTAAATTCAATATGATCTAAATAAAGAAATGCTAAAAAAATTTGGGATATCAAAACTAGATCATAAAATGAATCCAATTATATAAAATTTATTTCATAATTCAATATACTTTTCTCACAATTTGTAGTCAAAGCGTGTAAATATTTGACTAAATACTATTCAAAATGAGAACTTTTTTGTGAGACAGAGGGAGTATATTTCTACTCACACCATGAATCTAAACAATCTCAATCTTCCAAATTTTTACAATCTCAATATATGACCGTCCCCCTTCAATCCAAATGATCCGAACGCTGGGAATATTTATATGTTCGATAATTGTTATTGTCCAAATTCTTCTTCGATGGCTCTCAAGGCTTAACGTTTTCGAACTTCATTCTGATGACACAACCTCATTACATGTCAGAGACGCAATCTCCGCATGACCAAGGAAGAAGAAAAAAGCTTTTAAAAAAGGCTCCACTTTCATAAATATCATACCGTACCATTTCATAAAGTAATGAAAAAAATAAGAAAATAACACAAAAAATATAATCCCTTCGCTCCCTAAAACTCTTAGCCTCCGTTTGGTAACA